AGTTCAGGCTATGGTTCTACAATTAATGTTTAATGTGATTCTAAATGCCCTATTGTAGAATAGTACAATTAAAGTAATATCAAACTATATCTTTTTAGGTTGTGTGACAATGTCTATGTGATTTACTCTCTCAACTTTATTTTTGTTATTTGTAAAGTGGCGATACCACTATAGATTTTTCAAGAGTTATTGTGAGGATTAAATAAAATATATAAAGTGCCTAATACATTACCTGGTACTTTTTGCAGATTGAGTAAGTGGTATTTTATAGAGATGTCTGTATGTCTTCTTTTTAATCATGGGTTTAACCTGGGGCCCATGGACATCTAGGGTATAATAGAAGGTTTTCATTTAGAGAAAACAAAATTCTGTGCAAAAATTGTGCATATGGTCATTTCTGGAGAGAGTATGTATCTTTTATTAGATTTAAAACTTCTCTGTTACATCCCTTAATTACAAAATACATGTTAAATTCTGTTCAATTTAGCAGTCAACTTATAGTTTTGTTTAACAATTTAATTATAAACAACTCAATGGAATGACTAAATTTATTAGAAGCTAGACTTGTGAGGATAGGCCTGGTTATGGCAAAAAATTACAAAAGGAACAAATTTGAAAGTGAAACATTCAGTCCATAGATTTTTTTTAATGTCTCAAGAGTAAAATCTATTTTTCTAAAATTTTCTCAGCCTTGAATTAAATTAATTGGTTGTTTTGTACAAAATTTTACTAAATGAGACCTTTGCTATGGCTAGGAGAACAATGACAATTTTCAATATTTAATTTAAGTGCAAAATGTAAAATTTCTCTATAAAATATTTTATCTTACACTAGAGGCCCGGTGCACAAAATCTGTGCATGAGGAGGAGGGAGTCCCTCAGTCCAGCCTGCACCCTCTTGCAGCCCAGGACCCCTTGGGGGGATTTCTGACTGCGTCCTAGGGGATTGGGCCTAGGCTGGCAGTCGGACATCCCTCTTGCTGTCCGGGACCCCTCAAGGGATGTAGCAGTGTGCCAAGTGGCAGGCGGCCAGGGAGGAGCCCAAATCGGGGCCAGGCGCCACTCGTGCTCATCCTGGCCTAGTGTGCCTGATGCGGTGGAGTTGGGAGAGGCTTCTGCTGTGGTAGCTGTGCTCACCAGCCGTGAGCCTGGCTTCAGGCTGAGCAGCGCTCCCCCTGTGGGAGTGCACTGACAACCAGGGGGCAGCTCCTGCATTGAGCGTCTGCCCCCTGGTGGTCAGTGCACATCATAGCAACCAGTCATTCTGGTTGTTCCACGGTAACAGTCGCTTAGGCTTTTATTTTATAGGCTAGAGGCCCGGTGCACAAATTCGTGCACCAATGGGGTCCCTTGGCCTGGCCTGTGGGATTGGGCCAAAACTGGCTCTCCGACATCCCCGGAGGGGTCCCTGATTGTGAGAGGGTACAGGCTAGGCCAAGGGACCCCACTGGTGCACAATCAGGGCTGGGGAGGGATGCAGGAGGTTGGCCCGCTGGGGAAGGACCGTGGGAGGGCTCCAGAGCATGTCCGGCTCATCTCACTCAGTCCCGATCAGCCAGAACCCAGCAGCAAGCTACCAGTTGGAGCGTCTGCCCCCTGGTGGTCAGTGCATGTCATACTGAGCAGTTGAGCGGCCTTAGCATATCATTAGCATATTACACTTTTATTGGTTAAATGGCTGACTGGTCGACCAGACACTTAGCATATTAGGCTTTTATTATATAGGATGTGTGTTAATATAAAATGCAAAGCTTTTGATTTTTTTAAAACTTTTTAAAGGGGTCTCTTTGAGTCTTTAATTTTTATATATAATATATAAATATTTGCAGTATATAAGGCTTCTGAATGTCTGCCTAATAATACTGAGACCCAAGTATATACCAAATATTTTTATTTAATTTTTTCCCATTTTTATTGAGATATAATTGGCATTTAATATTGTGTAAGTTTAAGGTGTACATATGTTGTTTTGATAAATGTATACATTGTGAAGTGATTACCATAATATGGTTAGTTAACACCTCCATCACCTCACGTAATTACCTATTGTTTATGTGGTGAGAAAATTTAAGATGTACCATCTCAGCAACTTTTAAGTATTGTTAACTAGAGTCATGAGATGCCCAGATTTTGCAACTGGAAGTTTGTAGCTTTTTACTAGTATCTCTCCATTACTCCCATCCCTCTGCCTCTGGCAGCCACCATTCTACTCTGTTTCTGTGAGTTTGACTCTTTTAGATTTCACATATGTGTGATCATGCAATATTTATCTTTGTCTGACTTATTTCACGTAGCATAATGCCCTCAGGGTTCATCCATGTTGTCTCAAATGGTAGAATTTTATTCTTTTTCCTGGATGAATAATATTGAAACCTCAGAGGGAAGGTAGGGAAGGGTTGAGGTAAGGGGGAGAGATCAACCAAAGGACTTGTATGCATGCATATAAGCCTAACCAATGGACACAGACAATAGGGGGATGAGGGCATGAGTGTGGAGGGCAATGGGGGGATAAGGACACATTGGGAAAAGGACACATATGTAATACCTAAATCAATAAAAAAATTAGAAAAAATATTCAATTGTATGTATATAACACATCTTTTATACATTCACCCATTGATGAACACTTAGGTTGTTTCCATATCTTGTTTATTATGAATAATATCACAATGGACAAGGAAGTACAGATATCTCTTCAAGATCCTGATGTTGTTTACATTAAATACAGGTGTCCCTCAAAAACATATACACACTTTAACCACTGACAACTCAATTTTGAAAATGAAATGTATTTTAATAAACACTTTATAATTATTCAAAGTGTGTGTATACATTTTTGGGTACACCTTACATATACCCAGAATTTGGATGTCTGGAACATATGGTAATTCTATTTTTAATTTTTCAGGAACCTCCGTATTATTTTCCATAGTGGCTGTACCAACTTACATTTCCACCAACAGTGCACAAGGGTTCCTTTTTCTCCACATCCTTACCAATACTTGTTACCACTTATCTTTTTTATTGAATTAATTGGGGTGGCATTGGTTAATAAAATTGTATGGATTTTAGGTGTACCATTCTATAATATATCATATATATTGCATTGTGTGTTCATTGCCTCAAGTCAGGTCTCCTTCTATTATCAGTGGGGAGCTCTCCTCATCCCCATCTGTTGCTGGTGGTGAAGCAGGAATTTTGGGGGAACATAGGCAGGCTTAGGGTTTTTTAGAATTGGGGTCCATGGAAAAGTGCAGGGACTGCAGACTGGGAGAAGGTACATTTCCATAGAATGAGGAGCTGGAAACAGCAGAAGGTCTATATTTACAAAACAAAGGAAGGAAACCCCTTATTCAAAGGGAGAAGAAGAAAGCCCAAAGGGAACAAGAAAACAATAAGGGAGGAGGGGAGGAAAACCTCACAGGTGCCATGTGAGGTTGACAGTTGAGCTCAGGAGTTACTATAGTAACTAGTCTAAGGGAATAGTGACCAATCAGAAGGAATATCAAGGCAAAAAGATCTGCAGCCTTTATAAGCCTTAGGGAAAAGGAACTCAGTGGGACTCTTTCCCCCTCCCCACGTGAGAGTCTGTACTTGTTCTTCAATAAAATTTCCACCTTTGCTATACCACCTTCAGTCCGTGGATTCATTCTTCGACTCCGACAGACAAAGAATCCAGGTAACCATCCTGCCCAGGGGAACACCGTGTGTTCCAGTCCAAAAATTCCGTTTCACAGTTGTCCTGCCCACTCTGGCTAATCTATGGTTCCCCAGGCTAGATTAACAGGCAAGTACCTTCCCTATGTCACCCAGACTTTTCTGCTCATGTGTTCATCTCCCCTTTGTTGGACCCCTTCCCCAAGTAATCTGTGGGAAATGGGTTGGTGGTCCCCTGGGGTGTGAAATTCCTGGTGAAGATGGCTAGGCTTATGTCTGGCCTCCCTTTTGCCTTTCCTATGATTGACTAGCTAATTACAATGATATCACTTCCATCATCATTTATCCCCCCTTTTCCCTCTTCAACTCTCCCCCACCCACTTTTCCTCTGGTAATCACCAAACTGTTTTTGGCATCCATGAGGTGTTTTATTTTTTCTTAATCCTCTCCCCTTTTTCAATGAGCCTCTGAAGCATAGTAACCTCCATCTTGGGTAAAAACTGCTGCTCAAAATTTTAACCCTGCTATTCTGGCTTCTGTAAATGTTTGCTTGCTTAAATAATAGGGAAAAATAAGATTTACAAAACAAAGGAAGGAAACCCCTTATTCAAAGGGAGAAGAAGAAAGCCCAAAGGGAACAAGAAAACAATAAGGGAGGAGGGGAGGAAAACCTCACAGGTGCCATGTGAGGTTGACAGTTGAGCTCAGGAGTTACTATAGTAACTAGTCTAAGGGAATAGTGACCAATCAGAAGGAATATCAAGGCAAAAAGATCTGCAGCCTTTATAAGCCTTAGGGAAAAGGAACTCAGTGGGACTCTTTCCCCCTCCCCACGTGAGAGTCTGTACTTGTTCTTCAATAAAATTTCCACCTTTGCTATACCACCTTCAGTCCGTGGATTCATTCTTCGACTCCGACAGACAAAGAATCCAGGTAACCATCCTGCCCAGGGGAACACCGTGTGTTCCAGTCCAAAAATTCCGTTTCACAGTTGTCCTGCCCACTCTGGCTAATCTATGGTTCCCCAGGCTAGATTAACAGGCAAGTACCTTCCCTATGTCACCCAGACTTTTCTGCTCATGTGTTCATCTCCCCTTTGTTGGACCCCTTCCCCAAGTAATCTGTGGGAAATGGGTTGGTGGTCCCCTGGGGTGTGAAATTCCTGGTGAAGATGGCTAGGCTTATGTCTGGCCTCCCTTTTGCCTTTCCTATGATTGACTAGCTAATTACAATGATATCACTTCCATCATCATTTATCCCCCCTTTTCCCTCTTCAACTCTCCCCCACCCACTTTTCCTCTGGTAATCACCAAACTGTTTTTGGCATCCATGAGGTGTTTTATTTTTTCTTAATCCTCTCCCCTTTTTCAATGAGCCTCTGAAGCATAGTAACCTCCATCTTGGGTAAAAACTGCTGCTCAAAATTTTAACCCTGCTATTCTGGCTTCTGTAAATGTTTGCTTGCTTAAATAATAGGGAAAAATAAGACTACTCCCATTCCAGAGAGGCCATAAACCATGCCCCAGACAGAGCTGTCAGTGCTGGCGCCAGGCCAGGCCTTGAGATATGGTCTCACAGCCCTGGCCCAGCACACAGGACTTTTTCTCAGAAGATCCAGAAGTCTCATTCCAAATTTGGGAGACAAAGAGCTGAAAAACGTATAAATAAGGAAGACTTCCACCATATTGGGCCCCAGAATTTGAGAAGCAAGATTTCCTCTGGGCTTGCTAGCGCTAGCGAAATGAAAAGACTCCAAATAAATTTGGCTTATTAATTAAGGCGTCTTCTGATTTACAATATAACAAATCCCCACCCTCCTGACAGCTGTTAGTCTGTTCTCTGTATCTATGAGTCTGTTTCTTTTTTTGTTATTTTGTTCCTTCCTTAGATTCCACGTAAATAAAATACTGTGGTATTTGTCTTTCTGTGACTGGCTTATTTCACTTAGCATACTATTCTCTAGGTCAGTGGTTCTCAACCTTCCTAATGCCATGACCCTTTAATACAGTTCCTCATGTTGTGACCCCCAACCATAAAATTATTTTCGTTGCTACTTCATAACTGTAATTTTGTTACTTTTATGCATTTCCCCTGGGTTCAGGAGGGTAGGTGTGGGTTATGAATCATAATGTAAATATCTGATATGCAGGATGTATTTAGGTGACCCTTGTGAAAGGGTCGTTTGACCCCCAAAGGGGTCGTGACTCACAGGTTGAGAACCGCTGCTCTAGGTCCATTCATGCAGTCACAAAAGGTAAGATTTCCTTCTTTTTTTGTGGCCGAGTAGTGTTCCATTGTGTAATGTATGATAGCTTTTTAAAAATAAGTTTTTAATTGAATTTATTGAGGTGACCTTTGTCAATAAAATTGTATAGGTTTCAGGTGTGGCCATTCTAGCAGGTGTGAGGTGATTTGCATTGTGGTTTTGGTTTGCATTTCACTGATGATTAGTGGTATTAAACACCTTTTTCATGCACCTGTTGGCCATCTGAATATTTTCTCTGGAAAAATGTGTATTTACATCCTGTAACCAATTTTTAAAACCATTTAAATGAATTTTTAAGTATAGAGTTCAATGGTATCAAGAACATTCACAATGTTGTGCAACCATCATCATCATCCATCTTAAGAACTTTTTCATTTTCCTAAACAGAAACTCTGTAGCCCTTAAGCAACAACTCACCATTCTCCTTCCCATTACCCAGCCTCTGTCAACCGCCATTCTACTTTCTGTCTCTATAAATTTACCTAGTCTAGGTGCTTCAGATAAGTAGAATCATACAGTAATTGTCCTTTTGTGTCTGGTTTCTTTTACTTATAATATATTTAAGGTTCATCCATGTTGTGTGTAGTGTGTGTCAGATTTTCCTTCCTTTTTTAAGGCTCAATAACATCATATTTATGGATATATCACATTTATTTATACGCTCATCCACTGGTGTACAGTTAGGTTGCTTCTATGTTTTGCTGTTGTGAATAATGTGAACATGGGTGTGCCAATATCTGTCTGAGCTCCCGCTTTCAAAAATCCGCACTCTTAGCACCACGCAGAATTGACTCCCATAAACATCAAGGAAGATGCAAATCAGTGTGGGAGAGCAGCAATGAGAAGGTGGAGGAGCTGAGCAAGATGCAGTGCAAGAGGGACAGGGCTGCAGACTGAGGGGCTGCCTGAGAGCCCCTAGCAGAAGAGCCTGCTGGAGAATAGGGGTGAGGCCTTCCACAGGGGAGGGGAGCGTTGGTGCTCTTGCAGAAGCCTGTTATTTTGTCTTCTTCATTCCCATTAGTCGTATCTCATCACAGTAGGCTGGCCAGGAGCCCACACCAAGTTGGTGCCAGCTGACCAACAAGATCTGTCAGGAAGCAAAGAAAAGGGTATCGTATCAGCTGCAAAAACAAATAGAGGTGGACTTCCCACACCCACCCTCCTAAACCCAGGGGAAATGCACCTCAGCATGCAGCTACCACCAACTGTGCTCACTTAACTGAGACAGGGGAGCACTTACCTGGCAGGCACAAATAGTGCAAATGAAAATGTACCGTTCCTGGACAACAGGTATCTGGTTTCTCTCTACCCTTCCACTCTCCTACAAACATTTTAAAATCAAATTTTTTGTTGTTGTATTTACTGTTGATTTGTAGGATTTCTTTATGTATTTTGGATATTAATCCCTTATGAGGGATATGATTTGCAAATATTTTTCCCATTACATATGTTGTACTTTCATTTTGTTGATGGTTTTCTTTGCTGTGCAGAATTTTTTTAGTTTGATGCAGTCTTACTTGTTTATTTTTTTATTTCGTTGCTTGTACTTTTCACATAATTTTCAAAAAATTGTTGCCAACATCAATACCAAAGAGCTTTTTAAGTATTTTATTCTAGTGTTTTATGGTTCATGTCTTACGGTTAAGTCTTCAATCCATTTCAAGTTAATTTTTATGTGTGGTAAAAGATAGGGATCCGATTGCATTCTTTTGCATGTGATTTCCCAGTCTTTAAAACACCATTTATTAAAGAGATGATCCTTTCCCATTGAGTATGCTTACGTCCATTGTCATATAATAGTTGATTGTATGTGCAAGGATTTATTTCTGGGCTCTTGATGTTATTACATTGCACTATATGTCTACTTTGATGCCAGTACTATTACTGGTGAGACGATGAGATCTGAGTTCTTGTCTTCTTGAAGATTTCAATCAAGAGACAAAATATAGTAAAGAAGACAAGAATTTATTGGCTACAGCAAAACATATACTTAGGGGAGTCAAACAAGGAAGGACATAGAAGAAGTAACAGGAGAGCCTAGGCTGGATTGGTTTGGCTCACTGAGAAGTGAGAGAAAGGGGGCCTTGGATACAGGTTCGGGGCATTAGCCTGAGTTGAGTTGCTGATGCCCATTGCTCCCCTGGTTGTAAGTCTCATGGGGTCCCTTAAAGGGAAGAAGGGAAAAGGGATGGCTCCAGCATGCTCCCCTGGGGGAAATTATGTGCTGGGCCCTTCATCCTGAGCTTATTTATCTCTCTCTTGCAGGTGGAAATCTTAGGGGAGGTCTCAGGGGAGGGTCTCACTAGAATATTTATCAGCTTTCCAGGTGAGCTCTTTCAGGGCGTGGTCTCCACTGATTGGTCAGCACCAGGGCAGGGGGTCATTAGTCAATCCAGCTGGTCCTGAGGCAGCCATGGCATCACTTATCTGGTTTTGCTGCTTTTCTGGGCCTGGAGCTGAAATACAACTGAGGCCTAGATGTTATCTCTAGGGAGGATAAGGTCAGGGGTCTAAACCGCATGAGCTATATGAAAGATCAGGGTCCAAACAACATGGCCCATGATGTGCTAGGGGAGGATAGGTTATCCAAGGGACAAGATTCTTGTTTTTCCAGTTTTGCCCCTTGCTAGGCATCTGGAGCTTTTTGTCCTTGTAAGTGTCTGTACCTGGCCCATTGTCCTTGCTCTGCTCATGGCTGTCCAACTGCCTATAACAGTAACATACTGTTTTGATTACTATAATTTTATAATACAGTTTGAAATCAATATATTTCTATATTCTCAGGATTGCTTTGGTTGAGATATTTTGTGGTTCCATATGAATTTTAGGACTGTTTTTTCTATTTCTGTAAAAAATGCCATTGGAATTTTTTTTTTGGGGGGGGGGGGTTGCATTGAATATAGAGCTATGGGTAGTATAAAATTTTAAAACAACTTTTTAAATTAAAAATTTACTTTTTTAAACTTTAAATGTTTGAACACATTAGTCCATGGATGGATGCCAAGTTATTGGTACTAATGGTGGGTGAATACAAGCAAGGGATGTCTTATTTGGCCATTATGATTAATGCCCCTCAAATATTTGTTGTTTTTAAATGTTTGAATTTAAACTTTTCTATTATTTTTATTTGTACATTTACTTTAAAAATGTAAACATTCAGCCCAGCTGGCATGGCTCAATGGTTGAGCGTTGATCTATGAACCAGGAAGTTGTGGTTCAATTCCTGGTCAGGGCACATGCCAGGTTGCGGGCTTGATCCCTAATGTGGGGCATATAAGAGGAAGCTGATCAATGATCCTCTCTCATCATTCATGTTTCTATCTCTCTCTCCCTCTCTGAAATCAATAAAAATATATTTGAAAAAAAAGTAAACATTCAAGGGAGAAAAACCATGAGATGAGAACTAAAGTTTTCTTTTAAAGAATTACAAAATAGAGCATTCCATGATTTATTTTTCTAAGTGATTTCTAATACTCATGAGGGAGAATTATTCACGCAGAGAGATGATGCTGAAATGCATGGCAAGAATTCAATTGCAAACTGAATTGCATCAAACATCATAGGATAATTTGTTACTTTAAAATGAATAAGTAATAATGATAGTCATCTTTGTCACAAATTGGCATATTCCTGACCATATTTTTATAAGTACTTTTACTAAGGACTTATTATGTTCCAAGTATTTTGCACACATAAATGTACTTAATACTCATAGTAATCAGGTATTATTTCTGATTTTATAATTGAGAAAATGAAAGATATTTAATTTTCTGTTACTTAGTATAAATTATAAATACTATGATCCAGGCACTGTTTTTGGCTCTGAGTATAGAATAATAATAAAACAGGAAATATTCTGTTATCATAGAGCTTGTATTAAATTGGAGAAAGAAAATAAACAAATTAATATGGTTTTAGGGTTATAAAGACAATATAGAGCAATATAAGGAGATAGATTGTGGTGAGACTAAGGAGAAGTCTTGAAATTTCTTTAGATGGTATAATTGAGAAAGATCTCTCTGGGTTTGTGGCATTTTAACCTGAATAAAAAAAGTGAGAGACAGGATGATATTTGGGGAGAGCACATTCTTGTCAGAGGGGATGAAATCAATGCACAGGTCCTGGAATTCCTAAAGTAGTGGTTTGCTTTGGCTGGGCAGAACAGTCAGGTGGAAAGGCAGGAGTGTGGGTGAGAGAGAGAGGACACAAGTCCAAGAGGTGAAAGAGTGTCAGGCACAGGAGCGGGGTTAGTCCTGTCAGGTTTTTCTTTGCAGGCTTTGATGAAGATTCTGAATGAGATTAAAGTCACTGGAGGCTTTTGAGCAGAGTAGTGCCATGCTCTGATTTACACTCAAGAAATATTATTCTGATCGACTGTAGTAGGACAATGATGCAAAGAGGTAGCCGCTAAGAAGAATCTCAATAGTATGGGCAAGAGAACAGCCGTGGGCAAACTACGGCCCGCGGGCCGGATCCGGCCTGTTTGAAATGAATAAAACTAAAAAAAAAAAAAAGACTGTACCCTTTTATGTAATGATGTTTACTTTGAATTTATATTAGTTCACACAAACACTCCATCCATGTTTTTGTTCCGGCCCTCCGGTCCAGTTTAAGAACCCATTGTGGCCCTCGAGTCAAAAAGTTTGCCCACCCCTGGACTAGGATAATGTTAAATGATATGAAAGGTGGTTAGTTTCTAGGTTTATTTTGAGTAAAGAAAGCAAGGTAGAATTTAAGGAGGAGTCCCATGTCTTTGATCTGGACATTTGAAAAAATGAAAGTTACATTTTATTAAGATGTTTAGGAAAAGAGCATGTTTTGGAGCATAACTAGATTAAGACTTTTGTTTACAGTATGTTAAGTATGGAAGTTGTGTTAGATATCTCAGCGGAAATGTCAAGTAATCAGTTGGAACTAGAGTCTAGGGTTCAAGGAAGAGCTCATACTTAAAGCCATGGCACTGGATAAAATCACCTGGCAAGTCTGTAGATACACAAAGGAAGAAGTCTGGAGAATATGAGGAAAATCCAATAGTAATAGGGGAGAGCGGGCGCGAGGGATGTTTTTTAGAGGCCAAATGAAAGTTTTTCGGGAAGAAGTGATTAACAGGTGGGGTCCTAGGGAAACTGAGCATTGGGTTTGTATTGTGGAGGTCATTTCTGACCTTGATAAGATGATGAAAGTGTTTGAGGCACCTCTCACCGACACCAGAGACGTGTTCCCAGACAGCCCCCTGAGTCAGAGGGTAAGGGCTATCCCCAACCTTGATCCTTGGCTTCTCATATAAATGAATTTTATGAGAGACCTTGACTGTGTTGTGAAAAGCCAATTTATTAAAGCATACACCTTTATTGAAAATGCAAAGCAAGCAAACCTATACATCTGGCTTATGAAGCACAAGAGGGCTCTCAGCTAATCTGAAGAACAGGTTGGGTGAGGGTCTGAGGCAGGGGTCCTCAAACTACGGCCCGCGGGCCACATGCAAATACAAATATTGTATTTGTTCCCGTTTTGTTTTTTTACTTCAAAATAAGATATGTGCAGCGTGCATAGGAATTTGTTCATAGTTTTTTTTTAAACTATAGTCCAGCCCTCCAACGGTCTGAGGGATAGTGAACTGGCCCCCTGTTTAAAAAGTTTGAGGACCCCTGGTGAGGTGTTATATATACTCCTGTCCATAGGTCTCAAAATTCCTCTGCTGAATATTTTGGTACAGATTAATTCTCAAGGTCTCTTTTTTACTTTGTTGTGGCCTTTCCAGAATGCAAAGCACCTGCCAACTTTATCTTGCCAAGCCTTTTTTTCCCTTTCCCTCCCCTTCCTTTCTGCATCCTCTTATTAGAGAAGTTTTTTTTGTTTTTTGTGTTGTGTTTTTTTTTTGATATGGTGATGCCTTTTTATTTATTTTTTTAATTTTATTTTTTAATTTAATTTTATTGTTTAAAGTATTACAGATATTAGAGAAGTTTTTTAAGCATTTGCTCTGCATCCTTGGCTGGGGAAGATAAAGGCTTGTTAGTTACAAGCTGGCTGCAAATTGCCCACACTGTTTGACCTTGTTTTAACTTTCCTGTCTCAGTTTCCCTATTCTTCCTGCCCTGGAATCCTGTAACAGAAGGATGAAGAAGTTATCTTTGGAATTCCTATTTTCACTATAGA